TACATTGAAGAATTTCTCTGCAGATGCCACAGTTGAGTGAATCCCAACTTTGAACTTAACATGTTCGTACTTAGCCTAATTTTTGTCAATCTATCACTTTGTGGACACCGGGGGGAAAATGAAATGGTCAGTGGACTCAATCAAGCACTCGACAAACATGATTTGAATTTTCGAGTTCATGTGTTAGTAAGCATATTCATTTTCTTTCCTTGCTCGAATAACATTGTTTGTAAGAGCCGATTTTCGAGTTGATTCAGACTCAAGGACTGAGCAGGTCAACGATATCATTGGAAATTTAGCCGTTGGTCGATACTACGATCAAGACTGTGTGGCTGCAATCACCTTAGGCAAGGGCACCAACGCTTTTTATATCGATGCCGTGCAATCGGCTCCACGATGGCGCGACTCATTGCCGAGAAAGGCGAGATAGTAAGTGACTTGCTCAGTTGCTTTGATTTTGAACCAAAATTTGATATCAGTGCCCTGCTCCATAGGTTATTAGCATGGATTGGGGAAACTTCAATTCATGCCATCTTCCAATAACTCAGTATGATTCTTCTTTAGACGCCGCCAGTTCAGATCCCGGCAATCGGGTAATGTACATAATCTTGAATCGAAAGCATACATGTATAGACTTTGAAACTCTTTTTTCATCATGACATAAGTGTTCCGTCGACCTCTCAGATCACGAATTCGACACCAATCCTGAGTCCTGATTTCAGTTGTATCAGACTTATGTTAGGTACAGGCATAGTGAATATCATTAATGGTCAATTAGTTACAAAACAGACATGCATGGCTTGCATATTACAAGTTCTGAAGTTCCTTCAACAACAATAGATCTTATATTCTATGCTAAACCAATCAAATAATAAATTTGATAGATAGAAAAAAATTAGAGAAAAGTAACAAATCTGGAAAATGTGCTAACAAAGAAAGCTCATAATCCATGAATTTTGTGTGGTCGTCTGCCTTAGCTTTTTATGAATTTATTGTTATTATTAGGCAAAAATGCATCATAGTCATGTACTTTTTTGAAAAAACCAATGTGGTCATCATATTATTTTTTTCTCTCGATGTGGCCTTCTAACTCAGAAAATAAACCCAATGTACTGATGTGACGTTCCACGGTACTGATGTGGCAGTCCACGGTGGTTGATAACGTGGTAGATGACATGGCAAATAGGCTAAATTGGTAATTCAAACAAGGCAGATGGATTGTCATGTCAACAACGTGAAATGTCATGCCATCACTATAATGATCAACGACAAAAAACGTTGATCAAAGGGTCACATTGAGTTTTTTTTTTTGAGTTGGAAGGCCACATTGAGAGAGAAAAATAATATGAGATCCATATTGATTTCCCCCCCCCCAAAATTACATGGACCTCTGATGTCTTTTTCCCTTATATTTATTATTAGGGTAAATTACGTATTTAGTACATAAACTATCAGTTTTGATCCGTTTTAGTACCTAAAATATCATTTTTTTTCAAAGTCATACCTAACGTTTAATTTTTGTTACATTTTAGTACATTACCGTTGTAAACTTAACGACACTGTATTTTTTTAGTAAATTACATCATTCATCACACAACTTTGTTTTCACTCATGTTTTGGTACTAAAATTCAAAAAAATTCAATTTAATTACTCAACTTTCAAATTGCTCCTATTTTAATCACTCTAATTTATTTTTTTAATATTTTTTTGTGATATGACATTTTTTATTATTTTATTAACACATAATTAAAGATAAAAAATAAATTTGAAAGTCAAAGTGATTTAATTAGGAGTAATTTGAAAGTTAAGTAATTAACCTGGAAAAAAAAAAGTAAACTTTAATGACCAAAATAGGAGTACAAAGATAGTTGAGTGATGAGTGATGCAATTTATTCATAAAACAAATGTCACGTGCAAATAATTACCTGTTAAGTTTTTAACGGTGAGATTCTAAAAGGAAATAAAAACTAAACGTCAGATATAGTTTTGAAAAAATTGAAAGTTTAGATATTAAAACATATCAAAATTAATAGTTTAGGTATTAAATGTGTAGTTTATCCTTATTATTATTAGTTGGTGAACTTCTCATTGTCTTTATTGAACTTTGCAACAAAAACATTCCCTTTAAGCTTTGGAATTTGGAGTGTTGTAGGTCTGTAGAAGAACATGGGGAGACGGTGCCCCATCTTCCCACGTGACTTACCCCATTTCTACGCTTCATATTCTTTCCCTATGTTTAAAATTGCAGATGCAGGTTTCTCAAACTGGATATTATTAAAAGAATTTAAATTGATTGATGGTGAGTCTCTTGGCATAAATTTTTTTCATGCACAATGACTCGAACTTAAAACCTTACTTAAACGATATCAAACTGTTTATCATTTGAATAAAACCCTATTAATTAAATATATGATTTTAGATACCGATAATTTTTGTATGATAAAAATAATGTACAAATGAAATCGTTAAATATATTGCATTTGATTTAAGAGTAAACCGTTAAATCGTTAATAATATAATGACATGACTATCAATTTCCGACATGGGTGACAACTATCATTGTAGACACCTCATCAAAATAGTGTTCTTTTGATCCGTCTGTTAACGATCTAACAATCCAATGAGATAATTAAAATAAAAATAAAAATTTAATATTATAATTAATAAAATTAAAAGTTCAATGATATAAATTATATACCACCTAAATTTTAGTGGCATTTGATGTAGCTTAACCTTGATTTAAACATAAATTAGCACCTGCAAACGTATGGAAGTTGTCCCTGTGTCCTGTCTAATCAAAAGGACAAGGGGGCAGAAATGCACTGCTAATGAAATATCCCATCAACTTTCTTGTTTTATTCACTTCAAAGAAAACTCAATTTCATTTCATTTTGCTTTTATTCTTTTATTTCCCTTACGTAAAAACATAAATTCTCGAGAATTTTTATTCCGTTAAATTAAATTATACATACAAAAACCTTCATAATTTTGCTTGCTTATCATCCCATGGATATTCTGCAACTGAGGCTTCAGTTAACCAGAATTCATTGGCTCCATATTCATATTTTTTTGCTTCAAATCAGACCAGGTTTTGTCTTGTCGATAAGACCACTCTTTAGATACCTTATACGTATATACAATTATACATACGGTCCAAGGAGGATCTGATTGCACACTAATTACATCTAAAACATTCTGACAATCCGTTAAATATCTATTTCTCTTACAGGGTTACACAGATTTACATGGTTCAAGAACCAAAGACACTGTAATGCATACACCCACACATATACATATATGTTCAGGGGTTGAAGATGAAGCTGCCACATTTGCCTTTCCAGCTCAAGGGCTTGTAGTTAGAGTTGTAGTCACCACCACCTTTTCTTGCATAAGCAAAATCAGAGATGGATGTTGAAGATGAACGCTCGTTTCCGTCTCGGACCTGTGGGTTCGTAGTCACCACCAACTGCATCTTCTCTCGCATCGTGGCGGCCTCGAGCCTATCGGACCCCTCAACACCATCGCCTCTTCTTCATTTCTTGTCTATTATCCAAATTCAGAGCACAGATTCAGCACAAAATGATTAATGAATGATAGTTTTCGTTTTGAGGAGAAGAAAAAAACTGATCAAGCTTACCTTGGATTTACCTTCGGCTTTGTATCTCATTTGGGTTGCGGTTAAAATCACGAGAAGAAGAAGGGAAATAAAGCACTGCCTCCTGCAAACCATTTTGTGTGGATGGAAAGAACAACGGAAGGAAGGAGATGAACTAAATAGTAAAAAAGAAATAAGAGAACAAAGAGGGTGGAATTAGTGAATGAGTTGGGAGCACAAACTCTGAAGGAAATGTCGCTCTCTGATGAAATGATGGGACATTGAAGGGGCAAATAAGTTGGGCAGAAACCAAAGGAAAAAGAAAGAAAGGGAAAGAACCTTATTTTATTATTATTTTCATCACCATTAACATCGATTCTTGAGACCTTACCTCAAGCTACAAGACGAACAAAGATTTTGAGAAAAGCAGTGAAGGGGAAGAAGACAACTGGGAAACCAAAGAAATGCATCAGACAGCTTCCCACCAAATTCATACAAAAGGACATGAAATCACAGCTGTGGGGGGAATTGGGTTTTCGCTTTCATTCGATCTGTTGCCATTAAAAGTTTAAGAAAAGATTGAATTGTTTTGTGATTTCTGGTGTGCGTGCTGTCACTTCCACCGTATCTTCTTTTTTGATGCCCATCCGTGGAGAAAAGAACGACAGAGTAATATAGATGTTTAATGATTACTTTATAATTACTCCATTATATTGTTGTATTTTTATAATGGATATGACAGTTTAATGATTAATTTCATGATACGTTTAATTCAATGAATGTAAGATTATTAGTAAAAATATGATTATCGGTAGAAATAAGATTAATAGAAATATTGTATTTTTTGTTTGGTTTGTTTAGCAAGAATGTAAAATTACATTGTTTGGTTAAATAAATAAAAGATTATTGTAATGTATATTTTAACAAATTGTCCTTATTATATATTTATTTTTTAACAAGTTGAATTCTACTATAATTTTACTATAATTAATTTATATATTTTCTTTAAAAAATTTAAATTCATAAAATTTATATAATTTTTTTTACAAAATTGAAAAGATAAATAGGTTTAATGAAAGGATAAAATTTTATTTTAACCCTTGAACTTCATATAAAATTTTAATTATGGATTTTTTTTGTAAATCTAAAATAGTTTAAGGATAAATTTGTAATTTAACTTTCGTAGATTTTTTTTTATTCAACGATAGAAGAAGATATTTTTGGAAAAAAATGTATTTTAGTCTAAAACGTCGGTAATCTAACAATACCCAAGAGAAGAGGGTAATCACATTCCCGATAATATACCCCCAAAATATCACTATTGAGAATAAAAGATTATCGGGGACTGAAAATGTTTGTCAACCAAATAGGGGGAATGACATTTCATTCTCCCGGTAATCTAATATGACGCCAACTAAACGCCCCCCTCATAGTTTGTATTTTACTTAATTATTTTTAAAGTTAATTGCGGTATTTGTCCATGAACTATGACCTTACTTTTAAATTGAGCCCTAAATGTTTGACTATTCAAATTCCATCCTCAAACTATGACTCTAATTATAAATTAGTCCCCAAAATTTTGAACATTTCATATTCATCCCTAAAATATGAGTCTCATTCTATATTAACCCACAAACTTTTAAATGTTCTAATTTTATTGTTGAAGATCTGAATGATTTAATAGGTTTTATGTTGATGAAGTGCCGATTAGGGTTTACAAGAACAGCGAGAGTAGAAATATCCCATGCCCGAAGCTTCAGCCGATGGGAGTTTATTCAACTTTGTGGGAGGCTGATGATTGGGCAGCAAGGGGAGGTTTAGAGAAAATCGACTGGACCAAAGCTCCATTCATAGCTTGTTACAAGGACTTCGACGTCGATGGATGTCCAGTTCCGGGATCGGCCGCAAGCGATGGGAACCGGTGGGAGGGCACCGCTTATCAAGCCCTTAACGCCATGGAAGCTAGGCGATACCGGTGGGTTTGTATGAACCACATAATCTACTATTACCGCACCGACAAGTCAAGATACCCGGTTACCCCACCGGAGGGCACGGCCGGAAGCTAAATTGTCCGGTATAATGAATATACCATACGTTTCATGTCATGTATTTTACGTACATATAACTCCCTTTATAAAATAATAAAGCCTTGCAAAAATTGGGTATTTGGGAAATCAGTTATGCTTTGTGGAAGTGAAAATATGCAATTGGTGCAGATTATTTTGTGCCAATAAAAGCTTTCTTCAAAAGATATATATATATTTTTTTTGAGCGTTTAGTTTTCAATTCTCAGCCTTATGCAACAATTTTATGTCAATAAAAGCTTTTCAACCTTTTAAAATTATATATATATATATATATCATAAATATATACAAGTATATGAAAAGACTTTTATTCTTGTACCCAAAAAAAAGACTTTTATTCTATATATATTGTTATTGTAACATTTTTGCATAAAATAAAATTCAAGATACTTTAATATATAATAATTTCCGCTACTAAAACGAACTAAAATTGATAGTTTAAGTACTAAATATGTTAAGTTCTTAATAGTAAGGTACTAAAATGAAATAAAAATTAAACGTCAAGTATGATTTTGAAAAAAATTAAAAATTTATGTATTAAAACGAGTTAAAACTAATAATTTAAATACTAAACACGTAGTTTATCCTTAAGGAATTTACAGTCCGCTTCTCAGTTCTCTCTGATAGAATCAGCTTGGGATCTCTATAACGAACAACACTACGCAATTTTGAATTACTTGCACCACAAGCTTTAATCTGACTGTAAATCAAGCAACCAAGTTGGCCAAGGACGAAACCTTATGGTAAATATGTTATCGAGTGAGAAGGATTAACATCCGAGGCGTCTATTCCAAGGATAATACCAAATTAATATATTTTTTTTGTAATTTTATCTTTATTTTATTATTTTAAAAATATTTTCTTCATGGCTTGTCGGATTCATTCAGTAATTGGTGATAAAATGCTGCTTCAAGTTGTATGCCATAACCCTAAATTTTATATCTACAAATATTGCTTAAACCGATGATTAATATTATTATATGATGTTTTCTTTTTATATTTTATGCTTAAAAATAATTAAAAATACTAAATATGAATTAAACACGTGAATAATAAAATAAATTAAATTAAAATAATTTGTATCTCTATAATATCTAATTTAAATTAGTCGAATAAATCTAATTTTATTTATTATAAAAAATTAGAAAATAATGGATAATTAGTAAGTATAAAATTACTAATTAACATCAGAATATGATTAAATTCATAAGAATCCATGAGTAGAATAATATTGGAAAGAGAAACATCAGAATAATCCCAACATAATACCAGACAAACACAAGTGAGATATCCATGAAGATTAGTAATTAAATTTGTTGACGAAAACGGGTAAAGAAAACGAAAGAACACGAGAATTTTACGAGGTTCGGCAATGTGCTTACGTCCTCGGTGCCTAGGCGGCGCTAGAATTTTATTCAATGATATTTTAGGTCTAGGTTACATCTCTATTTATAATAGAAAACCCTGGTACATAATTACAAAATTAACCCTGTACCGTACCACGGGGGCTGCGCCCCCGCACCCCCAACCCACATAATTCGTAACCCCACAACGAGACTTTTTATGAGCCATACATAACAAATCTCCACCTTGGCGAATATCCTGCCCCTTGGAAACTTCAATGTGGGTTGGGTTACCTTGCTTCTTTAACAACTCGAAACATTCAACAAGTCCAAGCAATGCTTGAACTTGTCTGTCGTAACTGGCTTGGTGAACATATCAGCGGCATTCTCATCAGTATGTACCTTCTGAAACAAAACCTCTCCAGATACAACCAACTCTCTGATCTTGTGGAACCTTACATCAATATGTTTAGTTCTAGCACGATACACCTGATTCTTAGCCAAGTGAATAGCACTTTGATTATCACAAAGCAACTGAACTCCACCTTGTTGAACACCCAACTCCTTCACTAAACCAGTAAGCCATAAAGCTTCTTTTGCAGCTTCAGCCGCTGCCATGTATTCAGCTTCAGTTGTAGATAGTGCCACGACAGATTGAACAGTAGACTTCCAGCAAATAGGCCCTCCACCAAGAGTAAACACATACCCTGTCGTAGATCTTCTATTATCCAAGTCACCTGCATAATCTGAATCCACATATCCTACAACCAAAGGATTATCCCGCTGACTCCCAAAAACAATTCCATGTCCCACAGTACCCTTTAAGTACTGAAAGATCCACTTGACTGCATCCCAATGTTGCTTACCAGGTTTAGACATGTACTTACAAACTTGACTAACAGCATGAGCTAAATCAGGACGAGTACATACCATCGCATACATCAAGCAGCCAACAGCATTAGAATACGGAACCTTTGCCATATTTTCAGCTTCCTTATCTGTCTTAGGGCACTGTTCTGATGAGAGCTTAAAGTGATTCGCCAATGGAGTGCTAACTGGTTTCGCGCTGCTCATCGCAAACCTTTCTAGCATTTTCTCACATAACCCCGTTGAGATAGCCGCAGTTTCCTTGAGTCTCTGTCCCTGCAAATTTCCATTCCAAGAATTTTCTTTGCAGCACCTAAATCTTTCATATCAAATTCCTGACTCAATAAAGTTTTCAAACCGATAACATCATCCATGTTCTTCGCAGCAATCAACATATCATCAACATACAGTAATAGAAAATAAAAGAACCATCATCAAGGCTCTTAACATAGACACAACAATCATACTCACATCGGTTGTAGCCAATCTTGATCATATAGGAGTCAAACCGTTTATACCACTGTCTCGGAGACTGTTTTAACCGTACAAAGATTTCTTCAATCTGCAAACTAAATGCTCGTTTCCAGGTTGAGTGAAACCTTCAGGTTGCCGCATGTAGATCTGCTCCTCTAAATCACCATGCAAAAAAGCAGTTTTAACATCCATCTGCTCTAAATGCAAATCCCAACTAGCCACCAATGCAAGTACTGCTCGGATTGAAGTGTGCCTGACCACAGGAGAAAAGATTTCATCATAATCAACTCCTTTCTGCTGTGAAAAACCCTTCGCTACCAAACGAGCCTTGAACTTCTCCTCCTCTTTTTCTGTTACTGCTGGTTTCTTCTTATACACCCATTTGCAACCAATCGGCTTCTTACCCTCAGGAAGGGGAACTAACTCCCATGTGCGATTGTGATTCAAAGACTCCATCTCCTCAACCATGGCTGCCATCCACTTGTCGTTTTCCTGACTAGTAACGGCATCATGAAAAGTAACTGGATCATCACTGCTAACAGTAAGTGCAAAAGATACCAAGTCTTCAAAACCCAATCTGTTCGGAGGCTTTATATTCGTCCGTCTCACCCTGTCTCTGGCGAGACTATAATCCTGCAAATCATCCGTAGTGGAACCACCAGAAGTCGGTTGAGAAGTTTCTGGTTTCTCAACTGGAAACTGCTCGAAATCTACCACTGTCGTGTCTTGCTTCTGCTGCAACATAGACTGTTCATCAAAAACGACATCTCTACTAATCACAACTTTCTTCGCAACTGGATCCCAGAACTTGAATCCTTTGACACCTTTCTTGTAACCCAGAAAAATGCACTCCTTCGATTTTGCATCAAGTTTGGATCTCTCATCAGCAGATACATGCACATAAGCAGGACAACCAAAAATCCGTAAGTTATCAAAACTAACATCATGACCAGTCCATACCTCTTCTGCAACTTTCCCAGCCAGCGATGCCCTTGGCGATCTGTTGATAAGGTAACACGCCATGTTAACAGCCTCAGCCCAGAAGTGTTTGGGAAGCCCCGCATTCAACCGCAAACATCTGGCTCTTTCATTCAACGACCTGTTCATTCGTTCTGCAACACCATTCTGTTGTGGTGTCTTGCGCACTGTAAAATGCCTCTGAATCCCATGCTCCTTACAGAATTGTAGGAACTGTGAATCTGTGTACTCCGTACCATTTTCAGACCGCAAACACTTGATTTTTCGTCCTGTTTGGTTTTCTACCTCAGCTTTCCACAGCTTGAACTTCTCAAAAACTTCAGATTTCTGTTTCAAAAATACACCCAAACTTTCCGTGAAAAATCATCAATAAAAGTAACATAGTACCTAGATCCACCCAAAGATGATGTCGTGGAAGGCCCCCATACATCAGAATGCACATAATCAAGAATCCCTTGAGTTGTGTGCTTCGCAGTCTTGAAACGGACTTTAGTCTGTTTACCAAGAACACAATACTTGCAAAAGTCGAGCTTACAGCTTTTGACACCATGCAACAAGTTCTCTTGTGTAATTCTGCCATACCACGTTCACTAAGATGAGCAAGACGCATATGCCACAATTTTGTCGTATCATCACAGGACTCAACAGAGTGAACTCCACCTGCAACGGTACTCCCTAACAATCTGTAGATATTCCCTGCAGTCATCTTGCCTTTCATCACAGTCAATGCTCCTTTAACAATCCGAATGGTTTCCCTATCCTCGTCAGCCTTAGGGATAAAACCATTCTTGTGCAAAGTGCCCAAGGAAATCAAATTCTTCTTCAAGTCTGGGATATGTCGAACACCACTCAACTTCCGAACGGAGCCATCGTGCATCTTAATTCTGACATCACCAATACCAACAATATTGCAACATCGATCATCACCCAAATAAACCGAACCAGAATTAACCGGCCTGTATGTCGAAAACCATTCCCTATTTGGCGTGATGTGATAAGAACATCCAGAATCAAGAATCCAAGCATCCGTCAATTGGGTCGTTGAAATAGAAAGCATATCACCCTCACTGCAATCAGAATTATCATCCTCGACCACGTTCACAGACTTGGATGAGCCATCACGCTTCTCATCAGTCTGCTTTTTCAACTTCGGACAGTCTCGCTTCATATGTCCCGCCTCCTTGCACTTGTAACAGTGAATCGTCTTCTTATCCCTGGATTTGGATCTGGAATTCCGCTTCCCGGACCCTGCCTTCTCTGGCTTCCGTCCACGATCTCGATTACCCTTGACATATAAACTATCGGCTTGAGAGCTTTCC